CAAATTGTTGTGGTCAAACAGGGCAGCAATTGCACCGCACGGGCTCGGCGGGGTAGAGTCCTCGGCAACCGGAGGGAAGCAGGGGTACAGAGCAGCGCACTGCCAGGTGGGTGTGCAAAAGTGCAGTCGCACAGGGTGACAGATCAGGCAGTGTCTGGCGAGTATCCAGTTAAAGTCACCATCAACGCAGCTCAAGTCACTACTTGCAATCATAGCCTCGTACCTACTGATGGCAATGAGCTATATCGCATGCGTCACAGGGTGCAGTGTGCCGGGTGTAACTGAGAATGCGCAACAGTGTTGCGGGATTGCATACCCGCCAGGGCTGCAGGGGCCATTGCGCCTTACGGGCTAACTGGGTAGGCAAACCCGCAACACTGTTGCGCATTCTCAGTTACACCCGGTACATATGGAACACTGAGAAGGATTGCCTACCAGGCGAGGGTCATGCCCTCCCCCCGGGTCTATCCAGCGACATACAACCTTCAACCTAATGGAGGTCCCTAATAGGCCAATTCGCCCCGCGAGTCATTTGTTTTGGGGCGAATTGACCTATCAGGGACCTCGGTTAGGTTGTGGGTTGTAGGTCCCTGGATAGACCCTTGGATAGGCACCTGGGCGCTACCGATACGGCCCCACCACAACTACAAGTGAGCGATCCAGTCCTCCAGATCGAAGCGGAAAGGATTCTAACAACGAGAGCAGAAGTTGGAATCACATATACAGATACGCCCTCGTTGGGTTGCGTATAAAGCATTCCGGTAAAGCTCAAATGCAGAAAAATGCGAGGAACAAGAAAACGGAAGTCACCATGCTAAAGGAAAGCGATTTCCGTTTTCTTCTTCCCCGTATTCTTCTGCATTTCAGCTTTACCAGAAAGCTTTATTGACCTATCTTTCAAAGTCAAAGAAAAACGTAATAATCTTCCTAGTGAGAGTAGCTCGATGGATCGTGAGCGTTATAGCCAGACCAGCCTAAGGTCCGTCTTTTCCTCACCCCCTCTCGCCTGCAAACTCCTATGCTGCCCGTGCTGTGAAAAGACGGACCTTAGGAAGCCTCAGTCCGACGCGGCTGAACGCGGCTCCCTGTGAAGAGCTACAGCGGTGGCGATTCCCCCAAAACATATAGCATCCCTTCCACTCTATACAGTCAAAACAAAAATTCAAAGCAGGGTTTAAAACGAAAACTTAGAAGCCAATTGCACCACCAACCAAGTATGATGTTGAGGAGATGACCACAAACCTAACCTAGCCAAAGGGTTCGAGTTAACGGTTTTTTAGTAACTGATATGTGTGGTGGCGAGTTAATAAAGATAGAGATATCGCCCAGTCTTTCAATAATAAAGAAAGCTTACCTTTGGTACATCACTGGAGACCGCTTTCGATACTATGACCGCGCGGGTACGAGGTTACGGTACTGATGTACAAATAGACTAGGGAAGGAAGGGAGATAACCACTTGCCTGTCATTGATCTCGGTGGAAACAACAAAGCAGGCTGCATACAACACACTGGCAAATCAAAATCAGCAGAAAAAGAAGAAAATCATTGCGCAGCAACAAGATTGAAAAATTTAAGTTTGGCGGTTGACGATCCGTTGTGTTTCTCATACGTCTATAGATGGCTTCGAAAAATTTCTCATCAAATAGAGATATCGATTGACAACGGAGACGGTGGCCGAATTCACCCACCGACCGAGCACCGACCGGTCGGTGCTCGGTCGGTGGCTGAATTCGGACACACTCGGAGTCGTGTGTGACAAAAAAAGGAAAACAAATCCTCCGTGTGAGTGTCAAAATCGACCCAGTTTTTGTTTTTAACCATTTAACCTCTTGATTGAAGTTTTTTGACACGTATTCTCGATACCTCTCTAATTCGTAGAATTTTACCACATCATGCTTACATTCTTTCCTTTTTCGTGACCCTTTGCCCGTAAGGTTATAAGTGTTATGTCGGGAATGCGCCTGTTGCACTGAATTGATTTTCCATGTTATAGTCACTTGCTTTACCCTATTTGTGTTCATTAGAGTTTTGTCCAATATCTGTGTTTTGTAGATACCTTATATTCTTTGTTTTTTGTCTCAAGTGTTCTTTCTTCATGTTTGACATTTGTAGGTTATGAGCTCCTACGTTTACTAGTTTTAGGATGTCAGTTACTCCCCATTTATTATTATCACTAGCAATTTATCTACAAATTTGTAACTGAGACATGGGGTCATCACATATAATCTCCTTATCTTTTTTTATTTCAAATGAAATGGATGTCATTAAGCTGCTTTGATTATATCATAGCCTAAACTGCTCTCTGAACATTGTTTGGCTCGCATGACTTAAATATTACTCTTATTTTCAGAAGGAGACGGCTAGGGAGGGAGACGGTGGCCTACTGCCACCATGCCGTTTAAGCTACGCCTGAAGAAGAGCCGCCAGTACAATGTGGTATCCAAATCGTTATTTGTTATTTGTGTGGAACTGTTGGATGGCAGTTCAATGGAATGCACACTATCTGGAGAGAGCACTGGACAGGAATGCCTGGACAATGTTTGCCAAAGATTAGGGTTGCAACAAGTAAGTTTTTTGAACTTTTTTATCTTTAGGATCTTTCTTAAATGCATGAACAATAATATTTGGGAAAAATACAAAAAGTATTTGCTTCAAAAAAATAAAAAAATAAGGTTGTCTTTAGTTATGCTTTTATTAAAGGATGGTTGTCCAATCTCAGTCTTAGCTTTTTGCTTGAAAACTTTTTTAATCATGGATATTTGTTCATCTGAACGTAATTTCTACTGTATGACTGCATTAAATAACTTTAGTCTTTTGATATTTTTAAATTGATCAAAAGTACAATCATAACATAGTTAATCAGCATAGTTTACAGTTTGTAACTCACGATTCTCCCTTTTAGCATGAGTATTTTGGACTACGATACATTGCATTGAATGGGATGCAACGCTGGCTTGAAATGGATAGACCTGTTAAAAGACAACTTGATAAGCATGCAAGCAAACTTAATTTATTCCTACGAGTCATGTACTATGTCTTAGGGGTCAGTCAACTACAAGATGAAATGACAAGGTATGTTTGGTTCTGCTTAAGACAAGTTATGTATGCTCTCAGCCTTGTAGGTCACTTGGAAAGCTCTGTTTTGTATCTAGGTATCACTACTTCTTACAATTGAAGATGGATGTCATTGAAGGTCGCATGAGTTGTGATGCTCGCCAAGCTATTCAGCTTGCTGCTTTTAGCATGCAAGGTAAGTGTAGAGCTTCTTGCCATTGGCTTGCTGTATGTTTGATGCTTCTGTGCACATATTTTCTGTTCACATATCTGACACGTATTGAAGCATGTGCTGTAACAGAAAGGCAATTTCTCTTACCATCAATCCACAAAACAGCTTTTCCTGTAATTATTTATTTTTGTTTCCTATCTAGCTGAATATGGAAATCATGACATGGAAAGGCACACAATAGAATACCTGAAAGACCTCACTCTTTTCCCCAAGGTTTGTGTAATGTTCATCATACTGAAATACATCTGTATGTGTCTAAGTATGTATCAGTCCAGTTTAGTTTCGTAATTATTAACACTAAGCATGTATGTTGTCAGCATTTGCTGGAATATGGACATGCTGACGCCTTATTGGAAGGGGTCATCAAGCAGCACCGCGTCCTCAGGGGTGTTGCCCCTTGCACTGCAGAGGAACACTACATCCAGGCCGCTCAGCAGTTAGATGGATATGGGCAAGAACTCTTTCAAGCTGTGGTTAGTTTTGAAAGCATTGTCCATAGAAACACAACTTAAGATTAAACTGCCATTTGGTAATGTTGTAATTTTCTTTTCCATTGCAGGATGAAACAGGAAGTAATGTTGTAATTGGTGTTTCATTGAGTGGAGTAGGAGTAGGATATGACAACAATCAACTGTCAAAATTTTACAAGTTAGTCTTATTATTATTTTGTTGTATATGTTCTGATGTAAATATTTATGCACATTTTTACAAAACACTGCTTTTCTGCAGTTGAATAAATTTTCTTACCACAAACTAAGGCTTAATGGTGTCTCTTGTTTTCAGATGGAAGGACATAACTAATGTTGTAAATCACAAGCGTTACTTTGTAATGGAATGTCAAGTGCCCGACAGATCAGTCCAGTTTCAGTTTTCTGATGTAGAGAGTGCCAAATATGTGTGGCGAATGTGTGTCTACCAAGTAAGTGATAAATCTGTTTAATTTTTATATCTAGCTGTTGTCTTACAATTATTGTAATCTTCATCTAGTATTTTAACTTGGCAATTTATGTCAATTTTTCAGCATAAATTTTTCATGCAACATGAACCAAATGTACCCGGTGATGTCCAAGCAGCTCATAACCTTTTCACTCAGAGTGCAACTGAAGTATGTAATTTGGATATACTTGCCACCTACCTCTTGATGATGTTTACTACCTTGGTACTATGTATGAATTGAATATTGTCTCTTTTCTCAGTTGGCAGAGAGTCATGAAGAACTTGATGCTGGGCGAGCAGTAACATGGGGTCCGACATGGACCTCAGTACCAACTATGCCTGTACGTGCCCAATCAACTTCATGCCTTGATCTGGCAACTCCGCAAGATATGGACCGCCTTAGGTATAGTTGTTTATAAATACTCTGCTCTGCTGCCTCTAATAATCTTAATGAAATTTCTTGCAATCATGATCATAGTCTTCATCTGTAATTTTTTTTTTTCCTTCTTACATAATTGTTCATATTCAGAGCCCTGCTGCCCTCATATCGTCCAGCACCTGATTATGAAACAGCAGTTCAACAGAAATACCATTCTGGAGCGCAACAGGAAGTAGTGCCTGCCAATGTGGTGCGACCCATCACAAGGCATCAACTGGGAGTCTTATATAGCAGTCAGCCAGAAATACACCAAACCCACCTTCACGAGGTTAGACCTTCACCCTTAAGTCTGTTCATCAAGTCTTTAATAGTGTGCTGTTGGATTGCTAATTTTTTAATATTTCCCTTTTTTTATATATATAGAATTTAAACTGTGGTGCCATTTACAAACACTACCCAGATGTAGCAAGAGTTGAAAGGAGGTATATTGAGGCTAACACTCATCATGCACTAATGCCTACTCCTCATACCTATAGGTGAGCCAGATTCTTTGTAGTTCCTGTAATTATGATCAATTTTATTCCTTTTCATTCTAAAACAATTGAACATTTTTGTTGTAAATTTTCAGCACCCCAGATCTTGATGTTGTTGTTGGGCACCAGCCAGCTTATTTACAAAAGCCCCCACCGCCATACCCAATTAACCGCCCAAGTAGCAATAGCACTCCTGATTTGGCATCTCAAGCTCTCTGCGCACCACGGCCCCATTTGTTTAGCCCTCAGGTATGTAACTTTTACATGACAGTATGCATATGTGCATGCAAGTACTCTTACCTTCATGTTTATGTATGTTTTGAGCCTTCAACAATGTACTGCAGGCTAGACTAGCACTTAAAAATCGATTTGCCGAAAATAATTGTGCTCAGGGTGAATAATTTGTTTTTTTGGTTAGAAAAGCATTTTCTTTTCGGCGACTGATTAGACAACTTCAAGGGTGCTGCTTACAATGAATTTATTTGGATTAATTCAAATAAACGAGTGTAAGTTTCAGAATTTGGAGTTCAAGAATTTAAATCTAAAACTTAATTGCCACCAAAATTCCATAGAAATTGGATTAGAAGTTTAGATGTTATACTCTTGAACTTAGTCCTGTGAAATAATCAAAGTAAATTCATTTTTAGTGCCAGTGTGGCACACTTAATAGATGTCTGATCAGTTCCCCCCCCCCCCAAAAAAAACAAATTTTTCTAACCAAAAGAAGAATTTATTTACCCTAAGCTCAAAAATTTTTGGCAAATCAATTTAAAGTGCCGGTTTATTGCAGGTGATGCTTATACAGTATGTAATGTAACCGATATTTGGTGCAATATCGTACTCTAAAACATCTATGGTAGCTTTGAACGGATGCATGTTGTTTACATGAATGTAAAACTTCCTAATCTCTCTGGATTATTTGGCAGAGATTTGATTTGGTCAATTGAACCATGTAGTCTGACTTTCTATTGCATCCACCCTGACTAGGTACAGGTCTGTTGTATTGTTGTATTTTGCATCATGTAGTGTATTGTGTTGTGTAGGTTAGTGGCTCCAGCCCAGATCTGGTATCCTCTCGTTCTCTGGGCATGGGCCGTATGGTGAGTCTAGCCGGTGGTCTTAGAGGCTTGGGTCCACCCTTGGGGTACTCCTTGCTGCCAAACCCAGAGAACCATCGTACTCACACAAACCTTGCTGCAGCAGCTATTGATCCACATGTCCAGGTAGGTTGCATATGCATGTCTTCCAGCATTTGATCATATATCTTTATCACAGCATGCTCTGTTGATGTTTAGAGTCCTCCTTAATTTTTTGCTCTCCTTTTGCATGGCTATAGCAAGCTAGTCCTATAACTGTATCTTGTTCATGATTGTTTGATTGTTTCTTAAGTAATAGTATTTGTAAATGTGTAGATTTCATTTTTTTTTTCTTAGTGGATGCAAATTTTAGATTCTCTATGAATTTATATATTTTCTAGCAATCCATGAACTTTCTAATGCAAATTACTATTATTTTGACACGGTTAATTACCCCTTTTAAAAAATATAACTAAATCGTGAAACTTTTTATTCTTAACTAAATTTCTGCTCTTTTCTTTTGTAAAGCATGTGGAAGAACTGCGCCGAGGACGAGAGAACGGATGTTTAAACAAAATGATGAATGGCACTGTGGCTCCTCCTCAACAGTTTCGCAACATACCTGTTTCTGTCCCAACATCGTCAGCTCAGGCACCAGAACCCATTTATGAAAATATACCTTTACCGTGGGCTGCTGAAGGACGAGAAACTACAGCTGATGGTGTGTATGCTTGCAATAGGATAAATTTAGTTTCTTTATAATTATCACCTCATCTACCCAATTATTATGTATTTTCTAAATTCTCCTTGTCCATTTTGTTTCTTTAGGAGTAGGGCCAAGGAGCAGAGCCTCAAGCATTCAATCTGCTCCAGAGATGAGCAGAGGACTGGCCAGTGTGGAGCTTCTCAACAGCTCTAACTCCCCATCCAAGATGGGAGCAGCCAATGCTAGTATCAGCGTCAGTGTCGCGCCCATCATGATTGCCCATTCTGGGGTCCAGCACCACGGCTCCCACTCTAAACTCTACACTAGTCAAGAGAGGTTACAGCAGCAACCTCAAAGTCTTCAGCAAGTGCCACAATCATCAAACCTTCAACAAGTTCAACAGCTTGTCCCACAACAGAGTACTATTTTACAACAGCCCCAGCAAACAATGCCAATCTCAACACCCCACCAGCAACATCAACAGCAGTCAAAGCCATTGACTGCACTAATGTTCCCACCTCAACAGCAGCAGCAACAGCAGCCTCAACAGCAACAGTCACCACAGCATACTCAACAACTTCTTAAACAAAACCACCAAGTCGCCAGCACTCAGCAACAGTCAAAATTGTCATCATTGAATACTGAATCTTCTCAACATTCAATCACTAATGGTAACCACAGCCCCCCCAGTCAGGTAGTCTCTGGGCTGAGTTCTCAAAGGCTGATAGAGTCAGTGCCTGTTTCTGTTTTGACAGATCCTGGCCAGCCACCCCGACCACATGGTCCACACACTAGTCACAACACCTCTGCCACATCCACTAACTCCAGTATGGACTCATCCTCATCGTCAGGCAAAACAACAGGCAGAAAGGGTCGACGCCTAAAGTGGGCTGGCTTAGGCCTGCTTGGTGGTACTCGAGACAAAGATCGCTCTGATTCTAATGCTAACTCCACCAACCAGCATCATTGGGGAACTGCACTTCCCAGGGTGCCACTACCATCATCTGTTTCAAAGGAAACTTTGGTAATTTTTATTACTCTGAACGTCTTTTTACCATTATTTATCTGTGGGATTCTACATTAATAACTTTCTGAATTTTCTTCTGTTTTAGGGTCAGCTTTTAGAAAAGAAACTTGTTGACAGTCAGCTGTTTTTTGAGTTTGAGAAGATTCCAAAGAAAAGACAAAATGCTGAATTTACCTCTGCCAACCATCCCGACAATATTGTTAGAAACAGGTATAATGCATCAGAATTTAGAAAGGGCCAGCAATTTTAAATCTACCCTACTTATAATACTGTCTTATTATTTTGACTGTTTAGGTTCAAAGAAGTGTTACCCTATGATGAAAACCGTGTTCGACTTACTCCCAGTAAAGAGAACCGACAGGGCTATATTAATGCATCACACATAACTGTAAGCATATTCCCAGTTGTTAATGTACTACTGAAGTGCATCCTTTCTGTATCTTTTCTTTTTTTTCTTACTTTAACAATGAAATCTTACATTTTTGCACTGGTTTTATTATGTTATAGGCAACAGTTGGCAATCAGCAACGTTTTTATGTAGCTGCTCAGGGTCCTCAGACCAACACCCTTGTCAGCTTTTGGCAGATGGTGTGGGAAGCTGATATTTACCTTGTGGTGAACTTGTTGGGGGCAAATGAAGATGGTGCCATACCTTATTTACCCACTAATATAGCTGACCGTAGCCTTGATTTAGGAGATGTAAGAAATTATATTATTTTCTTATATTTTGTTTTGCCACATTTAAATGGTTAGGACAATTGTAACACAATTAACACAGTTTCAGGTGTGGTGGCAATTTTCTCAAGAGATGGGACACTGCGTGACCACAAAGTTGAGGCTCTTCCATGCTGCTACACGTCGAGTGCGCGGAGTGTGGCACTTGCAGTACCCTGAGTGGGGTGATCAGGGATGTCCTAATAGTGTGGGTCACTTCTTAGGTGAGCAAATTTTTCTAAGTTTGCTTTCATGTTCATTAAAAATGTTTTTCTATTGTTATTACAATATTTTAACATTATTTTAAACTTACCACAGGATTTCTTGAAGAACTTAATTCAGTCCGTCAGCATACTGTGAGTGAAATCCCTCCTGGCCATAATCGCAATCCACCAGTACTAGTACATTGTAGTGCTGGTGTTGGTCGGACTGGAGTGACTATTTTAAGCGATCTGCTTCTGTACACTCTTGACCACAACCAGGTAAAATGTGTTTATCTCTAAATTGAATGCATTTCTTTCTCATCAAAGCAAGATAAATTCATTTTGTGGTATATTCTTTTCAGGAACTGGATATTCCACGGGTTGTGGCTCTCTTACGTCATCAGCGTATGCATATGCTACAAACTGTTGCTCAGTATCGATTTGTACACAGTCTTCTTATCCATTACCTTAGGCAATCTAGGCTCATTTAATATTAATCCAAACCACCGACAGAAACCATTAAGTTGACTTTGTACTCAGTCTTCCCATCCCCTACCTCAAGCAACTAAGAATAATTAGGAGTCCATATTATCAAACTCAAATGTATGCTATGCTAATTAATTCAACATGATAAAAATCAATCTTCAGTCATATTTTTAATATGTGACCACTATTTGTAGGACTAAGTATCAATGTGTTTTATATGTAGTGAGGAGCAAGTAGCAAGTACCTACAGAATGTGCATGCTTTGAGGTCTGTGTTAACTTGACAATAATTGTTGCAGAGACGTTACAATTTGTATAAAATTTATCCGCTAAACTCATGTGGTATATTATCATATTTGTCTACTTAATTATGTTTACATTTGTCTTGTGATCAATTGTGTATTATTACGTATTATACTTAATTTAGGAACTGTTAAAATTTTGCTATGATGGATAACCATTTGGTTATTGAAATTTGCTTTCTGGTGGTAATACTTTTTAGAGATTGGAGCCATTACTGACAAGACTGATCTCTTTGATTCCTTGGTTAACATCAGATAGTACCTTCCTTTTATGCTGCAGTCAGATAGCAGCTTTGTTGTTGTCGTCTTGTAATAGAGCGAGCTGGTCCTTTTGTCTATTAGAATTCTGGAGCTAACCCTCCTGAATAATTAATTATGCTTATGCTGCAAGTAATTTACAGTAGCATTTAACTGTAAAAATTTGAAAGACCTCAAATGTTTGAGGGTACATGCTGTAATATTTTTCTGAACACATTTTCAAAGTGTTAAATGATATTTTTGGAATGAAAAGTCCGCTTTTGGTACCAGTTTGAAGGTAGTTTTGTTCTGTCCTGTGCCTTTTGACTGAGTGCAATGTAGTGTTTCAATAGGCATAGTAACATGGATTGTGAAATATTTTTAGTGCCTTTGAACAAATGAGTTATATCAATCTATTCATATTACTGGTCGCACACAACATATTTTTTGCAGTTAAAGAATGAAGCTGAGTTATATATTTAATCATCATTAGTTTAAATGATATCTCTATTTTTGACACTATTCCAAGCTGTTTATTGGCTAAATTAACAAAATTTTAACAGAACTTTGTGATAGCTTTCTTGTCATAGTCTCATAGAATAATGTTTATTCCTCATCAACTCTCTTAAATCACTCAGGAATCAATGCTTTCTTTCTCTTCAAAAAGTATGTGGTTTGTAGAAAGTAATCTCCATGTTAGATTTGAATAGTTTGAGTCCCATCTATTTATTCATTTTATATTCTAATTTGTTGAAATATGTGTCCATGCACATCCCTGTATCATGTCATCCCAATCACATTCTCTACCTGCTTTAGCTTATCTTCTGTGTTTCTGTTTCTCTACATGTAACTTATCTTTTTTTTTCTTTTTTTTTTGTTATCATTCTCATTTGCTGGTAGTAGAATTTGGAAATACCTTATGTTGGTAATTCTTCTGTGTCTTACATGTGTTGCTTTATCTATCACTAGTTGCAAGTCCCACCGACTAGTGGACACAATGCTATGCTGCATTTTGACTGTCCTTTAAAATCTGCAAGTATTGTTTAATGAAATCTCATTATTGTATTACTTTCCTTATATTTTATATAATCATGAAGAGTGATGCATGAATCTGCTCCACTAGGTATTTGTTTGGGCATGATGCATCTTGTGCATCTTTGAGATGATGGCATATCTGTCAGGTCAGCAATTTGTTTAGTTATCTATCTACTTACTTCTGATGGAAAGTGTATAACACTGCCAACTAAAATTCCTTTAGTTATTGTCATCTTTACTTGATGGAAGCCCATCCTAACTATCTATACCCATGGTGTGTGTGCATTCTATACTGAAAACAAGGTGGCTGAATATTTCAACATTCTTATGATGTATACTCAATACAGGTACAGCTTGTTGTAAGAATGATGGATATGGATTTTTATCAGTATTTGAGGTATCTTGCCCTTGATCTTTTTTGTTTTTGTTGTGAAGTCTGATTATTATTCTATTTACTTTAGCCCCCGGCTCCCAGTATTAAATGTATCTATATTTATTGGTATTCTCAAGTCCCCAAGTCCTTGATTTTTTATTGTGCTAAAACAATTTCACCTACTGAACTCAGCTAGAATATTAGTATTTTACAGGTGTACAATAAATACAGTTGTTAGATTCTAGGTGAAACAACAATCAAATTGTGTATGTATTTTGGTCATACACAACAGAAACAAGAAAAAACTGTTTCTTTTCTACTTTAATCACAGCCTATACTGCAGTCAGGTGTTACGTTATATTGTTTATGTTGACTCGAGTCCTTGGCTCAATTCTCAAGTAATACTTTGCTTTGTGTACTTACTCACTGTTTTATCACAATTGTGATTTATGTTTTTCCCTCTTTTTGCCTTGTGGTGCTACAATAAACAATAATACCAATTACTCAAATTGCCTTCTCAAAGTTGAAAGATAATTGATGAACCTTTTGTTTCTTTTCCATTAATGACTTTCTCTTAGTTTGCACTCTTCTGAACAGTAGTAGAATGCTAGGTGTATAGGTGTAAACATTGTTAGTGCTTTGGTTTTCAAAAGTGTACCATAAAGGCCGGACTAATAAATTTGGGAACGCATTTCAGACCTCGTAGTTCTCAAGTGAAGGCTCTGGGGGAGAGGAGAAATGGACAATTCGGACAATCCAGCAAAGAGTGGCATAGACAGAGAGGCCCCCTCAGGACCTGAGAGTGGACAAGAAGGTCTGGCACGCCCCTCCCGATGGAAGGCACTGGCCGAAGGCTTCCAACAGCAGCGGCTCATCCTTGACGGCCGCCTGGAAGTCTTTGAAGGACACCTTGCCATCCTTGTCATAGTCAAGCTTCTTGAGTGCTAACTCCACGAGGTCCTTGACACCCTCGTCCGGGTCGTCGTCCTGGGGCTGCTTCACCAGACAATTCCTGCAAGAGGCATACGGGCACACGGGTTTAGGTACGTCGTGCGTCGGCAGTCACCGCGACCCAAAACGGGGAGCTCACCTGAGCAGGTGGAACATCTCCTCGCGGCTGATGTGTCCGTCGCTGTTGAGGTCGTACACACGGAAGCAGAAGGCGGTGCGCTCGTCGTTGTCGCCCTTGATGAACACGCTCAGGCCGCACACCCACTCGTCCATTCGGATGACGCCGTCGTTGCAGCGGTCGAACGCGCAGAAGATGCGGTCCATGAGCACCTCCTCCGTCACCATGTCGAACGTGTTGTGCAGCAGCTCGCGGAAGGCCACGCGGTCCAGGCCCTTTGCAGACAGGGACACGTGGGATATTTTTGGCAGTTGCTGTAGGCGCGCTGGCGCGCTGCTGTCCGCGGACGGCGGACGGCGGACGGCTCACTCACCTCCGTGACGACGGCCACGTTGGGCGGCGGCAGCACCGCGGCTCCAGAGTTGTGCGCGTGGCTCGTGGCCACCAGCTTGCGGTACACCCGGCACAGCGACTCGATCTCCTCCCTGTAGTAGTGACCGAGCGGTTAAATAGAGGGACCACCTGGGTCAACGGTGCCCCGTGCCCCGCCGACCATCCCCCCACCTCCCTGCTCACCTGCTAAAGTGCGTCTTCCTCTTGAAGTACTCCATGAGCTTGGCGGAGGTCTTGCCGCCGCTGTTGCCCTGCTGCCGGGCCCTGCTCCGCGCCGTGGTGCCGCCCCCGGCGCCCGCCCCGCCGCCGCCGCCCCCGTCGTCCATGGCCGCCCCCGCAGCCCCCGGCGCCCCCGGGCAGCCGCGGCCCCGGCACCTCCGCACGCGCGCGCGGCCGTGCTCGCCGTCTGCAGTACAGGGGCAGCGCCGGCAGCGCATCAATCACAATCAAGCGCGGCCAATGAACCCCATCCCAGCCCAGCCCAGCCCCGGCGCCGCGGCGCCAACCACGCAGGCGCGCAATTTAAGGTTCGGTGGTGAGAGGGGGAGGGGGTGCAATGTCGCCGGTTGCCTACGTTGAGAGGTTTTGTAGCTCAAAGCAGTGCCTACCTTTCAGGCGGCTCAGTAGATACGCGATCGCCCCCCC